CAAATTAGATATCTATGAATATATGATTAGTAAACTTTAAAGTCACATATAATGATTATATGTGACTTTAAAGGTCATGTCTAGTGTTGAAGGGGGAGATCTTCATACAAGAACTCTAATGATTTTTGTAACTGGATTAAGACAGCAAATTGCGCTAATTAAGCTCAGTTGGTTAAAACGACATGATAGTCATATCATACTCGGCGGCGGAAGCAGTGGCCGAAGACATGAGGAAAGATAGAGAAAAAAAATTAGAAACTTAGGGCTCTTGATACCATGTGAAAATAATGAAAAGGCATACGAAATGAGGTAGCCTAGATGTCATATATATAATAAAAGAGTTCTGAGTACATTAGGAAACAAATAAATATGGAAACCTAATTAGATACTGTTTGGCACTGTTTAGGCACTGTTTGGCATTGTTTAGACGTTGTTTGACAATGTTTTGCACTGTTTGACACTGTTTTGATGTAGGATAACTTTCCATTCTCTGATGGCCTCGATCAGTAAACTCGTGATATATTTGGGATACATTAATAAAATTGGAATATACTCCCTCCGTCCCGCAAAGATGTTCCCGGTTTGACCTACACACATATTTAGGAAATAAATTTGACTTTACTGTTTAGACACTGTTTAGACACTGTTTGGCACTGTTTAGGCACTGTTTGGCATTGTTTAGACGTTGTTTGACAATGTTTTGCACTGTTTGACACTGTTTTGATGTAGGATAACTTTCCATTTAGAGAAAAGGAACTTCTTTTTGGGACATTCAAAAAAGGAAAGCGGGAACATCTTTGCGGGACGGAGGGAGTATGATATGACTATCATGTCGTTTTAACCAACTGAGCTTAATTAGCGCAATTTGCTGTCTTAATCCAGTTACAAAAATCATTAGAGTTCTTGTATGAAGATCTCCCCCTTTCAACACTAGACATGACCTTGGCCTGAAGCCCCATAACTCTAGCTTTCAAGCTTTGATCCCAAATAATTGTTCTGCCTTTTTTCATGATTTCCCTTCCCACAACTCCACTCTTGCTATTCCCTATCGAACCATACATCACAGATGTAAGTTTTGTTGAACAACTGGTCAGCGAAAGGACATCACAAGAAACGCAACCACAACGGCTCAAGAAACAACATATAGATGGGTGTGAGGGAACTTTCTCTGATTTATAGCTAAGAGTTATGTCAGTATATGCACTGCCAGATCCAGGATTTCAATTCAGGGGTTAAAATTTTCAAATATACTCCATATAATATAACTTTACTTGCGTAAAAAAGTAAAATATAAAAATAAATGTTACAAGTGTTTAAGAGTATATCCAAGTCAATTATAAAAAATACTCACTAAAAGAACAAGTTAGACTGTGATGAAAAGATCCTTACATATCACAAGATCTAAAATACTAGTTTTAATGTTATTTGAAATTACTTTGTACAAATACAAAAGTTGATTGATTGAACTACAAGAAAACATGCATTTAATAATAATGAATACCTTTTGTCTGTTAAATTAATTCTAGGTTGTGTTTATTCAATGCCATTTTTATATTATTTGCTTACGATTATGGATTGCTTGGATTTGTTTCTGTGATTTCAACTTAAACAAGGGGAAAATAATTTAAATATCTCAAATTTTGAATTGAAGGGTTAGTACCCTAAACTTGCGCATGTAATATATATACCCAAATCTTTATATAAAAAGTTATGTTAACGCTATGATCATGTGTTCTTTTTCACAAATGTAATTTTACGGTGTTAAGTACATAATAAAAAATGCACAAAGCACTTATGATGATGCAATTAAAATTAGATTGTACCGGATTAATATTATTTATTTCAAATAAGAAATTTTAGAATGTTAACCACATCCAAGTAAAGCTTAGTGCATTTTAATTTGTGTACTTATTGCAATAAATTTAAATTTGTAATAACATATATATAATCATGGTACGAAAATAACTTGTTATATAAAATTCGGGATATATATATTACATATGCAAGTTGGGTATTTATCTCACACCCCTTAAAGGTTTGGGGTATTTATATTATTTTTTCCTTTAAACGAATGAAACACCTACAAACTCTCTTATGATTCATCTTGTAATATAAATTTGATGTGTATGCTATAACCGACATAATTTTTTTATTGGTAGCAACATATTTTCCATAAAAAAAGCTTCTATATATGTATTAAAACTTTGAAAATCTATTGGGGGCATATGCCCCCATTGGGGGAGGGAATAAATTCGCCCCCTTATTTATCCCAATTTTATTGCTTGAGTTTGATTGCTCAAGAAAAAAGTTGAAGTGTATATTCACTTTCAGACGTATCGTTCAATGCATATTTGTTCATTCTCCCTCATTTAAATAAAAAAGGAAAACTATATATACCTTAACAAATTGTATCTTTGTTCAATTGTTTGTATGGACAAATGAGCACACGATTATTTCAGTCAAAATATGTTACCGCTATGAACTATGATGCAAAGGTTGGTGAGTGGTGACACGTTTATTTTTATCTCAAGGAGGATTGAATATGAGAAATACGATAAACAAGCAATTGCGTCGGGCCATCGAACCAAATTAAACCCATTGTATTAATGTTCGCAAAATACGTGCAATAAGTATATACTTGTATTCTGTAAATATAATTGTGGAAAATGAATTTTTAAAAACTTATGCATTACCGTCTGTTTCACACTACAAGTTAGTGAAACATGACTTAATATTTTGTATAAAATAGGACTCTTTGTTTTTCAATATGAAAATTGGTTCATTCAATTTCAATAATGATAAAAGTGTTAAATATGTAAATAGGTACATTAGAAATAATTTTCATTTCCACTTGTAGTAAATAATTATTATTCTAATAAGAATGCTTCTTATTTGTTTACATGTGTCATTTAAATGAGTGATTGTCATTCATCCTATTTTAATTGTTGAGTATGTATGATGCAATAACTAACCCACATCACGAACAAATACTTCTACACTATTTTTTGATGTGTATGCTATAACCAACAATGTACTTTTCATCTTAATTATATTGAATCTACCTCGATACAATTCATGTATCTGGATTTAAATTATAACACAGTTAAAAGTATAGTTTCACTCTACTAATATACAAGTATGATTATTATTATGGAATTCATATTTATAGTAAAAGAGAGTTTATGGTGCTACATAATAACTCATTGTATTTCCCTATTACACTCTTAATCTGTGCAAGAGAAAATATATGTGAGTGTTTTTTTAATTGAAACATTAAAAGGATAAGATTTTAGTAAATACTCACCATATCCAATTGTTTACAAGCTTAATGAACAATTAAATTACCATGCGTTACTCGTTCATAAATAAAATGACAATCAATTATTTGTGTTTTGCTGTGAACATGTTGGCTATTGCATAGGATTAATAGAGAGGTATATGGCTTGGATATTGTCACAAAGAAATTTGAAAGGAGATCTAGCTTGAAGATGATAGTGTATGTCCTTAGTATCTTGAATAGCATACGCAATAGCTTGATACTCAGGTTCAATGTAAGGTTTAGAGAATGTGTGTTGCTTCTTGAAGAATCAAATATTATATCCCAGGATAATAACATATCAAGAGGTGGACCGATTATTGTCAAGACACTCCGTTTTAATTACCACCAAAGTATGCAAATCACGAAAGCATTATAATACGAGAGGTTAGACATCCAAATTATGTGAAGCATTTGGAACATTAATGATTTGAGAAATCAAATACACAATGTGAATAATATAAGATCTTGTCGCAACCAAATAATGTAATTCACACACCATACTGTGTGACTCAGCTCTGGTCAACAAATAACTCACCATGCGTATGAAAAAAGTGGTTCTCGAGGATACGGTCATGCATAAAGGTTTGAGAGCAATGGTGAAACCGCTTTAGAAAATTCTGAACATACTACATATGGTGAGCAAAAACTGACATTGCAAATCAATTTAGGACGGATGTAGTACATTTTTAAACAAAAAGTTGGATGTGTTATACATTTACACGCATATGCAATCATCAATAACTTTTTAAACATAAAAATATTGTCATAAAATTTTCCGCCCAATTGTCTCTTAGATATTATGACTATTTTTGCCATCTGTAATTTATCAAAACCTAAAATGATTTGATGATCTAAGTTCAATTAGTCTTTAATTCTGCTTGAGCGTTACTTGAGAATGCCTATAATTCGCATAACACTCTTAGAACATTTCTATAAAACTATGCAATATGTGCAATATGGTAATTGTAATTTTTATGCATGGATCGATCGATACTATGAATATATGATGTAATATCATATGTATGAATCTATAATAATTAACACCAACACATAATCAAATAGCTTGCGAGCTTTTCTAGTCAAGAATGTATATAACTTACGCTTGATTTGGTTCAAATTGAGTACAAACCGAATTTGAATCGAGTTGAGTTATGTTTGAGTAAGAATCGAGTGAATCTCGAGTAACTAGAAAGTAGGCTTGCTTGATATGTACCCTACTTGCTAGCACAATTCATGCTTTCCAGTTTTAAGAGGAAGTCGCCATTGAGTTGGCGATTATGATTAACCAGGATTTATTCTAGTAGTATTTCGATAAATACTTTTAACTTGATTATAATTCCTAGTTAATTTTTTATTTATCATTATTTTGAAAAAAAAACTCTTAGAATCCATCAAAATCCATTAAAATCCCCAACTAGGACTTCAATGGATTTTAAAACATTATGAATATCAAAATCCGACGGATTCTATAAGATATGTTGTGCAATGTTTTTGTATTTAAGAATCCATCAAAATCCCATTAAAATCCATCCAAATAAGTACAATAGAAATTAGGGGATGTTTAAGAATACCGTTATTTTCTTGGATTTCACATAAATTCAAATGGGAGACACATGAATTCTAGTGAAATTCTAATTTCTATTAAAACTTCTAGAATCCAAATTTAGATATGGATTAAAAAGAAAACAATAAGTACATATTTGCTCCAGTTTGGTTTGGCTAGCCATATCCTCTTTATTTATCGTTACCGACGACAACCACCGGATATATACGCTCGTTCGCCAGCGGCACACAGCGCACGCCATTAATTTTGAGGTGAAACGTTAGAAATTTATCATCAGTCGACTGGCACAAATGACGGAGGATAGCTTCCCCAGGGGTTCGTCCTCTGAATCGGCTTCGTCAACTGATCCTTCAATTTCCAAACAGAGGTGCGCACAATCCTTCTAAAGATCTACAATTTTCACCTTTATAGCTGCTTGATTTGCAACAAAAATTGTTTACTCGGTTTAGAAGGGAACCTTACCATCCAAAATTGATAATAGTCGAAGTCTAAGTCCAAGTCTTCATTACTCCTTATTAGCGCATTTTGCTCAACTGTTAATTTATCATTGTTATTATTATTTTTAATTTTTCCAATCTATTAACTCCAAATTACGAATCTGAATAAAATATACCGATTACACATGTTCTTTCATTTAATTTGAATCGGTATTAGACTATTAGTATTGGTAGAACTGTAATGGCTTCTTGGTTTTCAAACCAATGTGGAAGTGGAAGCAAGTAGCAAAAAGTAAGAATGCCCTGTTGAATTATGAATTTCAACAAGAGCAGATGACACATTTGAATTGGGCAATTAACTTTGAAGATTTCACGCAGGAAAAAAAGGAAGTGGGATCAGCCTGAAGAGTCATTGGTTTCAGCTGGAGTATGCCAGCCTCCTATTCTTCCTTTCACAAACATTGGATCTTTTGTTGGTATGGCACTACCCAGCATAGGCGCAACATGTGGCACTCTTTTAGCCACTCCCCTCACAGCCAATGGTGCATCTGTAGTGCAGCAACACACGGTAGCTCTTGCTAAAAAAATAAATCATTTAATTTCAATTGGTGATAACCAGTTATTCCCTCTAAATTCCTTGAAATCTATATTTTCTTTTATCAACGATTCAACGTATGATACACAGATGCATAATATAACAATTAGAGAAAGTAGGAGCCACCTCTGGTACTTTCAATCCACTTGGGGAGCTACTTTTTACATAACATTCTTTTGTCTTCCACTTTAATGGGTAAAGATTTGTACAATTGCAAGCTCTATTTTTATGTTATGCTTTATTATATTGTATGTTTCTTCTGATATGCTTTTCTTTGGGTTGGATGAGAGTATAGCTTAGGAGAGAGCAAAGGGGAGGGCAAAAATTCGTGTGGAGGATTGATTTCTTTTCTCTCTCTCATTTTCTTTTATCTTTTTATGTTCTTTATCTTTCGTATGTTCTTATGTTATTTTTATGATTTATCTTTCTTATGTTATTTTTATCTTTTATCTTTCTTATGTTCTTTTATCTTATACTAGTATTTGTCTTTATCTTATCATTTTTTATCTTACCTTATCTTTTTTATTTTCCTTATCTCCTTTGTGGCCCCAAAATCTTTTGTGATTAAGGTTTGGATGTTGTTGTTGCGCATGATTATACTGTATCACCCCCACAAATCAATGATTAGTACCATGTGACACATCTGTCTTGCCTTTTTTGTTGTTATTATGTCTTCCCAAATATATGTGCTGTCTTTCAATTTGATAACATTTTGTCCATGCGTTATTCAACTATGGCAGACAAAAATCCAGGACGAGGTGATTGCAAGAGAGATTGTCATAAATGATGCTGACTCTGCTGTTCGATACAAACTCACAAAGCGCCAAACCCAAGAAGAGGTGCTCTTCCTGTAATTTGAGATTGATAATGATCATAGATAGTATCATACTTGGATTATGCATGCACTATTATTTGATGCTAAATCAATTTGCTGATTTCCCAGATTCAGAAGAGTACAGGTGCAGTGGTAATAACTAGGTGTGTGCCTTGTGAAAATATTATGGGGCTCATTTTTAAGTGCTTCTCTTCCTCTTCATGTAATACATATGCTAAATGGTCTTTGCAGGGGCAAGTACATGATTCCTAGTGCACAACCTGATGGTGCAAAACCTCTATATCTTCATATTTCTGCTGGAGCACATGTAAATGGCTTGCCTTCTGTAAATTTATTTGCGATTCTATTCATGAAATACCACCTAATACTTTCTGAGTTCAAACATCCTATTAAGTGTATTTCCTTTTTGTTGTTCTCTTAGTTTCTAAGAAGGGCTGTCTTTCTCTTTCTTTATTTGTATGTCTGATAAACAATGTAAAATGGTTTGAATTAATATTGCACGATCTACTTATCAGAACTGATTCTGATGTGTATGCAATGTTATATGATCGATTAGTTAGAAACAACAGTGGAGAGGATCAAAGCAGTTGACCATGCAGCGTCACTTGTGGAGGAAATATTGAAAGAGGGTTCATCAAACAATGGGTTGAAGGTTTTATTCACTTAAAGTCAATGAAAGTGACAAACAATAGGGTAATTGCAATGATTAATTTAGTATATTGTGAAATTTCTAGCAGGCTAATCCCTCCATGAGTACCTGTGTCTATGTGGGCTTTGAGGTTGATGCATCCTTGAACATTTCTGCTCGTATTCGAGGACCAAATGTGAGCCTAATCCCTACATGATTGCGTATATGCATACTTTCATTTCTGCTCATTGGCTGTTGATCAGGGTGGTGAAATATGATGTGGGGAAGAATACTTCTATAGTAGTGGTCATTTAAGTCTATGTTTGCCTTTTATTTATTGAATTTATCACTGTGAAGGTGCAGTAGCAATATCCCAAGTCCTTTTTGTAATCTCATTTTCTTGTCGAAGCATTCATTTCATATGCATTTCCTTGATGAATTTCATTGGTTTTTTTATTTCGCTCAATACAAGAAAGACAAGAATGTGATCATTGGGAGAGATTCTAACGTCCTTAGCTTTCTCTGACTTCTCCGTCCATTGGGAGAGATTCTTTTTGTTGCTGGTGGTTTCCTTTTGAAAATGCAGGACCAGTATATAAATCACATTATGAATGAAACAGGAGCAACTGTTGTGCTAAGAGGTCAAGGTTCAGAGGGTTCTGGAACTGTACATGGTGAAGGTGATTTTTATGCTGTATCACATTAATATATTATTCCTAGGTACTATTATGGACATATATTCTGTGATTAGATGATTTCTACATATGGATTTACTCTCAGATGGACATCAACCGCTGCATTTGTTCCTATCGAGCAATAATTCAAAAAGTCTTGAGCGTGCAAAACTTTTGGCAGAAAATTTGCTGGATACTATATCTGCGGAGTTTGGTGCTTCTAGGTATTACATTTCATTTGTCTCACTGGTCAAAATGTGATCATAAAAATTACTTGTCATTTATCGTCAATCCTTGATACTACCATTCAATGGATCTTGTATTTTCTTACAACATAGGGTGTCTTCTTGTAAAGTGTATGGAGCTGTTCCTCCCCCACCGCAGCTATTAGCTGGAAGTAATAGTTTGGGAGATGAGTTGAAAGTAAATAATTCTCAAGATGCTAATTTAAGTTCTGCAAGTGTGGGTGTGTCTGTACCAGCTGTTCCTTCTGTGGCTCCGGGTATGGACATGAATGTTTCTCAAGGAATTGTACCCCAGTCTTTAGGCTCATTCATTATGCTGCCATCTCAATCAAACACAAATTACTACCCCCATACGCCAATCTTGAGTGGAACGAGCTATATGGGTTACGGTGGGATTTATCCCCAAGTCACACCCTTACAACAAGTTGCCTTAGCCCTTAGACAGTCGATCTCTAAAACAGCTGCAGGCTCCCCAGAATCAACAACTAGCACCAGACCCCTGACTACTACGACATCCTTTATTCAGAAGGAGCGCCCCCCACATAAACGCAAATTCAGAGAGTTACCAACTAATATAATGGTCGCATCAAATCTTAATCAGGTATTAAAATCTGTTCTCCTTGTCTCTACCTGCTGGCGTGAAGCCAATGGCCTATTATCCCTTAGTTTGTGTCTATTTGATTTAAATAAAAGATAGCATTGAACAATGCACCAATTTCATCAGTCTTCTTATTAGATCTCATCAATGCAATTTTTCATAGTCTTTGTTCCGCAACTAAGTTTGCTGAAGATATTAAATTCAACTTATGCTTTGTGATTTATTATTGAAAAGCTCTTGCATGTTTTTCCATTTGAGTGCAATGTCTTTTTTATACTGACCTTTACTACTTGATATTCCAGGTATTTTCTCTCACCTTCTAAGAAGCTAACATGGCGATTCTGGACCCTATTGGGCATTTGTATGTTTCACAGGGTTTTATGAACTGGGAGCTGCATGGAATTGCTGCATGTTATCTCAATAATCTAGGTGGTGCTAGAGCAAAATTTATACCAACCATGCTCTGTTGATGAACAGGCCTTATGGCCCATTAGCAGCTGCTTAAAATAGCAAAGAAGTTACATACTTCTCTTTTTTAATCGTCATTAACACAGATTTTTTTTTAATATTAGATAATTGAATTTTAATCTCTGAAGTTTTTCCTACCCTTTTCCGTGCATAATATGAAAAGAATTACTCCCTTCGTCCCATTTGATTAGATATGCTTATTATTTTAATCACCCCAAAATTATGTTCAATTATCTAATTTCTACTAACTTTGTGGGCCCATGTTGCTTTGCCTCTATTATGAAGGTTAATATTGCATAATTATTATCTGGTCTTAACATATCTGTCAAAGGAAAATGCATCTTACATTGTGGGTACACAGGTAGTACAAGAAGTTCCATACTTTACTATTCCCTTAAAAAGAGAATGCTTATTCCCTATCTTGTGCTACCTCCATTCCACAAAGATTAGCCACATTTGATTTATAACATGGAAACTAAATCTATATATTTTAACTAAGATATATCTATTAAAAACAACGGTCAAAATTCAACACCTTTCATCTTCATGGGCATTTCTAGTCAACTGTGTTGCAGTCATTAGGTTGAGCATTACACAAGGCTCTGTTCTTTATGGGGGTGTTTGGATCTGATTCTCAAAACTGATTCTGCTCCTTGAAGGAGCAGAATCAGAAGCTGGAGTGTTTGGGTGAAATTCCAGAAGCACTTCTGGTGCTTTAATTTACTCCCAGAATCAGTTTTTTTTAGAAGCTGGGGGGTACCAGCTTCTGAAAACTGATTCTGCTTCTGCTTCTGCTTTAAAAAAGAAGCAGAAGCAGAATCAGTTCCAAACACCCCCTATAATATGCTCATATATGAATTTCGTCCCTAATTATGAGATATCTATCTTCCATGTTTTAGCATGCTGATTTAAGCATTGTATCGTGTGATTCAAATCTCTTTATACATCTCTCCAAACTTGTTGGCACTCCATGATTGTGGTAATCAACCCACTGCCTGGGAGCAGGAACTTCTGATAATGTTTAAGAGAGAGTTAGCTGATTGTTATATATGTCTTGCACATTAGATGTAATTTTTCTTTAATTACTTAGGATTCTGTATTGGGTTTTCTTGTAAAATCATATGCAGGAAGTGCTGGCTCCAAAGGCTCAGGATCTAACTGGTGTTAGAGATAATACTACTATTCCTGGCACAAAGGTGTGCCAACCACCTTCTAATTTAATGCCACCGCCACCTCCTCCTCCCAAGATGATGCCAATGACTCCTCCACCACTACCGACGTTTAATTCTCCAACCTCTAAAGTGCACGGGATAAACAATACGCCTCAAAGGCCATCCTCAGAAAATATTCCTGGTACATTCACGGATCAACCTCTTCAGTTTTAGGCTTTTTTTGGGAAGGGAACGCAAGGGCAGGACACCACTTCTTTTATTTTTAAAATTCATAGAACTGTCTCTGGTTTATGAGCTTAAATAAGTGATTAGGACATTGAGTTCATCAAAAAAGAAAAAGAAAAAAAAGGACATTGAGTTATCATTTGAAAAAACTTGTGAGGTTTTAAGCAATATTTGCTTAAAAAGTAAGTTAGCTTCCTCCCAAACAGGAAACAGATTTGCTGGCTTTGCAAGTTGCATGCTTGTCTATCAGACTCGGGTGGTGGGGTTGGGCATGCAATCATGTATAGGGATTTAAATCTGCACCGTCCCTGTCCCTTCTCCCGCCTCAAGTTCATACAGGCTTCTATGCTTCAATGTCGTTCTGCAGCAGTCTTGGTTGCAGAACATACAAGTATACGACAATAACATTACCTGAGAGAGTCTTGGTTGCAGAACATACAAGTATACGACAATAACATTACCTGAGAGAGTCTTGGTTGCAGAACATAAAGAATTATAATGATCAACTAGTATTAAAAACACTTCATTCAGTTTTTAGTGAAAATAAATTAATTGAAAATGTTGGCTTGTTTCTTTGATTTCATGCAAAATAGATACTCTAGTGAAGCTAATGGAATATGGGGATGATGATGAAGATGATGACATTGAGGATGGTGTTGCTGGGGAGAGATTGCAGGGGAAATCAATTGTACCAGAGGGTCCAAAACCATTCTGGGCTGTTTAAAGATGCTAATTCGTCCCGTGGAACTCTCTGCTCTCTAATTGATGGTTAATGAATCATTTATTAGGGTGACATTTCAATGTATTGACCCACCCGGATAGCAATGGCATGATTTCATCTTAGAGAGAGGGGGGTTGACCCCCAAACATGGCGGGAGGTGAAGAGGTTGCCTTACTTAGGGAGGACTGTTATCATGCTTTTTCCAGGAGGGTCACCCTACTGCTTGGAGTTGGAGGCAACTCAGTAATACTGCAAATTTATTGCTTAATTGTGCTGGTAGTACTTGAAGACTACTCCTTCAATGTTTTGCATGGGTTATAAAACTGGACATGCAAACGGTTGTACAGTGTTTGATGGCCTAGTGATTTGGTTGAATTACAAGCATTAATATTTTTTCAGCGCAGTATTTAATCCCTCTACTCTAATTGTGTTCAAATTAGTCGGACATCTACTATAATTTGGTACGATCAAGGACAATTATTTACGCCATAATGATATTGGGGGTGTTAGGCAATGGTTGTTGGCTAGTGCTAGCTGTTGGCTGTTTTAATTAGTTGATTGTTGACAATTTTGTTGAATGTTTTGATTAGCTACCAGTTTGTAAATTGATGTTTGGTTAAATGATTCTTTACAATCAGCTGATAAATCCTTAACTTTTAAGGACATCAATTATTTTTTTGATAATGTTATTGGTCAATTATTTAAATCATTTTCTGATTTTAAAAAATCAGTTGTGCATTTGTTGTTGCAGCTTTATAAAAACATGTTATTGGTAAGCATTTCATGTATGACGCCATGACGGTGATATGATCATATGAAAGTATGAAACTCACTCAGTAATATCTCATAGTACTACTTTTCCATTTTTGTTACTCCGTATAAGGTTGATTAATTGTGATAACGCTTTTCACTAGGTTACTAAAATACTAACAATTTGCAGAGATAAGACATCAACACTAAAAATAACAACAAAATTTACATATAGACAAACTAAAGAAGGATCTAAATAGCAAAAAAGAAGTAACTAAAGAAGGAGGATCTAAACAAAAAAAAAAGTAACTAGTCGGCCAAGTCAATGTTTCCAGCCATTCATAAAGTGGGGAAGAAATAGAAAATTTCAAAAAAAATTGATGTGGGAAAGAAGTATATTGACAAAATTTGGAGAACAATCAGATAGATTGACTACTGGAGAATGGCATGCGTTAGTCACTTGGTCTCAGACTCTCAGAGGTGTGCTGTGTTCTTCTTTAGGTGGAAACAGTTTTCTAGAAGAAGAAGGCAGTTACGGAACTCGCATGGCAGTATTAGGAAAAATAAGGGAACGCAGATGGTAAACACTGGGATGAATAGCGTTTCATATTTTGGCTGTTTGGAACAAAAAGCCAATTGATAAAGTCATTTAATCAGCCTCTTATTAGCTGTTTGATTGGGTCAAAAGGCCAAACATGGTCAAAAGGCCAAACATGGTCAAACACCCCCATGAATTAACGAGTCCGAATACCATACAGCCATTTGTCTGACTTGTACCATATAGCCGGTGGCATTTTCTTAATTAATTTAAGTGAAAATCTCGATTTCCATCAAATGAGCATTATATTAATACACTTTTAGTGAGCATCAGACCTTTTCTGCTAAGTATTAGAGGCTAATAATGAGCATCGTGATATCTTTTTATATCTTCTAAAAACAAGACTGAAACTCACTCCATTGAGTTTCGAACCCTTATGTGCCTAGCGGGTTTCGAATTCGAGACCTTCCACTAGGCACGGTAACCTCACAACCAGCTGGGCTGAAATGCTTCGTTATTTTTATTTCTTTCTTTTTCTTTTGTAAAATTGCTTAAATTATATCTATAATTAACTTCTATGGATTCTAATATGTGATTGGACGACCAGGTGAGCCTCGAATGAATCAAGTTGCAACAAGAGGGAACATGCACTTGGTCGTACTGCATCAATGGAGGAACTCTGCTCTTCGCGATGATGGTGAGGTGAAGCTCGGAGCGATGAGCGGATGGTGAAAGTCAAGCGATGATGCCAATGAAGAATGATTCAACGTGCAATCAATCTGAAATCAGAAAAGGAGGGGAAAAGGAGGTTCCAAATTCAGAGTAATTTATCAAATACATGGTTGCACCACCCGTGAAATACAACTATAATATAATTTGCCTTAATTAACTTGAATTATGTGGCAATGTTGGTGCTGATTTGGTAATGCGTCCATAAAAATGTATACACTAATACACTGGTTTAATTTCTTTCATGATTAAAAGCTTCCACCATAAACACGTTACAAGTTGGTTGATAAACATGAGGAAAAGATAGAGTGACATTGTGAAAATATACTAAAACTTTTGATATTTTCCCGTAATTTCCATTTTATATGGTTTAATATCATGACCAATTGACCATATATAACATTCTTTTAAAAAAGCAGGTAACTCATTTTTAAATTCTAAAAATAACTGCAATCAATTTATAAGTACTATTTCATAATCAATTTATCAATACAAATCATTAGGAAAAGAACACTACTTAATAAGTCGAGGTTTCAAATAATCGCTCCAACCTTGTTTAATCAAGTAGTACATTACTTTTAAAAAAATTTTAATCCTATTTATTTGGCAAAACTTTCTAACCTATTATATCACTGTTTTATGTTAAGATCATCATCCTTAAATTGTGATGAGATTCGAACTTGTGACTCCCTCCTCCTTGAGAGTGTCACAGTGATGCTATCAGACCACAAGGTACTTGGTATGTGACCTCTTCCTACTTATTTAATCACAATATTTATATTCTCCATAACGTTGCCCAATGCGGTTAAGCCCGTGTTAGACATATAAATTTGAGATCACACAATTCACGCAAATTGTAGCATTATCAAAATGAAAAGCAAACAGTACTTGATCTACCAAACTAAATTTAGCTCAAATTCACTCAAGTAAAATAAAAATGTTTTAACTCGTGTGACTATCATTAAATTCTCTATATGCAATAACCCTCTAACTTTTTAACTAATATTATTACTTTAATTACGTTGTTATTTAAAATTAAAAATGTTTGTAAACTAATACATTGAAAATAGTAGTGAATTATTATTGTGCATTGATTTCAAATTCTTTTGAAATATATAGTACTCCGTAATTTTTAATTTTTAGTAACTATTGTTTTTTGACCATTTAACAATTATTGTTAATGCCTTTTATTTAGGCTTTTTAACCAATAAAATATGTTTCTACTATAATTCAATAATATTCAAACATAATGTATAAACAATATAAAAGTTTGATGTATAATATACTTGACGAGAATAGAGGTTTTCGGCAAGAATTTGTTGATGGAGTTGAGAAATTTTTTACTTTTACACTTAGATAAATCCAATATACGGATGGTGTTAAAATAAAATGTCCATGTAAAAAGTATAAAACATTAAATTTCAACATGGTGAGGAAGTTCGGTGGTATTTGTACACACAAGTTTTGTTGATAATTAGTATAATTTGACTTTGAATTTTCATGAAAACTCTTCAATCTGTCACTTTTGCCACAAACCATGTTCATCTCATAACGTTTCCAAATATTACTCCTATTTGTGAAAGTTGTTTATTTTTAATCTTATTTGGAGCAATTTCTTAATTTTTATCTACTCCCAAATGTAAAAGTTTAAAACATCAATTGTATTTTGGTGTTTTACACTCACTCCTTGAATTATCTCTAACTTAATCCATAAGTTGATATATCATTTGGTCTGGTTTGACTTGTTGGAGTGCTTGAGCTAGGTTTTGGAGGCACCTGTGGGCAGTGTCACGATGATGATGTGAGGAAGATGACATGAGCATGAGGCTTTCAGCAACATTTGCAGGTGTGATCTTATTAATCTCCTTCATCAGTAACTCCTCAATGGATTCAAACATGGGATGGTCTTCCTCAAAAGGTGTGAGGTAGTTCCTCGCTAGCACTTTGAATCCCTCAAAAGTACAGTAAGACAGCTCAAATTCAACTTCTCCATGTGGTTAGTGGGAATACAATTATCCGCTCCTCGCTGCATGAGGACCATAGCCAGTCTATGAAATTCAGCAATCCGGACAACGTCACTTTACTCCCGCCGCTGCTGCCCTTGTTGGGGGCAGCAGCAGCGTCCTCTATGGATGACTTCTGCTGCATCATTCTATTTCCCGTGAGGTTGAGCGAGCAATCACTGTCCTCAATCTCGAGGAAGGATTTGGCTGTCGTCTCCGCCAGGAGCTGCTTGAGGTGAGTGTTATCGCTCACCGTGGTCAGTTTGAGGTCGTAGATGTCATAGTGAAGCAAGTTGGCCAAAAAAGAAGTTTGACATGAGTCCACATGACATTCAAATCCGGTGGGTGCGCCGTGCGCACTCGCCTATTTTGTATACGTGCCCAAATTACGAGTGTTTGTATTTTGCAAACACTTAAAAAAACATTTCTCGCCTTTTGGTTTAAAATTGTTAAAAAATGTTTTTCAGGTGACAATTTTTACTTAAAAAAGCGTTTCTCGACTTTTGGGTGAAAAGTGATTTTTACTTTTTCTCAAACACTATACCATCTTTTACTTTTCAAAATCATTTTTTTCTCAAACACTATCAACTTTTACTACTAATCACTTTTTCCAACATCATTTAAAAAGTGCTTTTTAAAGCAAAAACAGTTGCAAACACTTCCTAAGTTTAATTTGGAACGATAACTACTTTGTTTAATATCAGTCTCAAACGATGTATATATATGAATTATAGGTTTATTTTCTATACATTAAGACAATCATAAACAACATTCCATAATAATATTAGTTTTGAAATAAATACGTAATTTGAATTTGAATAGAATCGCGTTTGCATCATTTTTCATTTTGGATCAAAATTTTGTTATTTTAGGATAATGGAAGAAATGAGAATCATATTGAGTTGACAAAAAGTAGTATCTTAACTGCATTTTTGAGTAGGCAATAAATATGTACTAAAGAGTTGATCAGTAATCAAGACAGTAAAAAGACATTAAACCTAAAGATGTTTACTAGCTTTGGAACAACTATTACTTTGTACTCCCTCCGTCCCAAATTATTTTGCAAAGTCAACATTTTTTGGTCAACCAATAATAAAAGTCAAACCTTTTTATTGATAATTAATTCAATTTTTAATAATTAAAGTTTACATATTCATAAACTACATTGAAATCTCTTCAAAGTTGTAAATTCCAAATTAGAATATAATTAAAAATTGACATCCTAATTAAGCGAACAAAACAAATCTGTTTGACCAAAAAAAGTCAAAATTGCAACTCAATTTGGGATGGAGGTAGTATTTATTAAGCTTGAGCACGGAAAAGAAAATAACTTGATCTGCCATGGAAATAAACCATTCAAGTAACATAAGCTCCATTTCACAAACCATGGCATTGATATATGTCATTAGAGAATATCTAATGCAAGTACTAAAACAACGAGACAATTTCTCAACATCTATCTAATACAAATAATCTCTGATACAAGGATCTTCTACATCTAATGACGCCAAGTACTCTTCAAAATAAGTTGGAGTAGCGGACGTAGCAGCCTGCCTGATTAAACTTCCACGCAAGAAGACCTATAGTAAAGCCCTTGAATTTTTTCCTGATATTTCCTAGCAGGTAGTTGTGTTCAGCATGTTGAAACACCTCTATTGTTGCATGCCTATACTCAAGACACTCTTTCAG